TCCGGGTTGTTGAGTTATGTGACTTAAATCGTCTCTTTCCGGAGGGCGGACATAAGTCCGTTGAAAATTTGCCCAAAAAGCATCCTCGAACTCTTCCCAACTTCCAACGGTGTTTTCAGGGAGGCTTTTAAGCCAGTGTCATGCTGGCCCTTTGAGCTTGAGGGGTAAGTATTTTATGGCGTGGAGATCATCTCCTCTAGCCATGTGTATGTGAAGGATGTAATCCTCAACCCAGAGTCCCGGGTCTGTTGTTCCGTCGTGTGCCTCTATGTTTATGGGTTTAAATCCCGCTCGAAATTCATGATCTAGCACCTCATCGGTGAAACATAGGGGGTGTGCGGCGCCCCTGTATTTGGGTGTGCAGTGATGTTCGAATACTCGACGTGTTGCATTGCTTTCTAGAGCTTGCTTTCTTGGCCCATAGATAGACTTGACTGGGCCATCCTTTTGGTACGAATCCTTATGCGGATCGCGTGCCGGCTTGTGTGCGGCGCTGCTTTCCACTCTATGTTTGCCATGTGGTCGTCTATCCAACCGGGCGGCCTATTTGTTCTTTGATTGTGGGGGCTCTACGGCCTCGTCGAATTTGGGCAGTAGTTTGCGCTTCGGGTAGCTCTTTGTTTGGCGACTATCGCCGTATATGTCTGCGGTGTTGAATACTTTGCTCCATCTGATTCTGAGTGCATCTTCTGCTGTTTTGAGCTTCTGCTTCTACCTTTTCAGGCTACGCGCAGTTGTGACGAGCCTTTTGTGGAGGTTCTTCTGCTCCAACAACTTGTCCGGTGTGAGATCGTCCGGACTATCATCTTCGCCGGGGGCGGGTTGTTTATCCAAGTTGTCCTGTTTGGACGGTTGTTCGATGGCATGTTCGTCGTGCACTGGTGTGACTTGCTCTATGGCTGGGTCTGTATGGCCGCCGTCTTTGTCGAGGTGGGACTTTGAGCGGCGCTTACGTCGCCGTTTTGGTTGCTTTTCGAGGGAATTATCCTTCGCAGCGTCCCGTTGTTCCTCGTTATCGCTTCCTTTAGGTGTATCCACCATAAATACATCGTGAGTTGAGGTGGCCTTCCAATGCCCTGTAGGCACTGGTTCTTGGTCGTCTCCGACATCGTCGTCTATACCGTCGATGTCTTCGGAGTCAAAGTCGAGCATGTCGGTTAGATCATCGACAGTGGCTACAAAGTGGGTGGTGGGTGGGCATTGAATTTCTTCCTCATCCGTGTCCCAACCTTCCTGACCATAGTCCGGCCAGGGCTCTCCTGATAAGGAGAGAGACTTCAGCGAGTTCAGGACGTCGCCAGGGGGCGAGTGCTGAAAGATGTCCGCGGCGGTGAACTCCATAACCGGTGCCCAATCGGATTCGATTGGCAGGGGCGCGGAAGGTTCGGAGTCCGGAGAGGAGTCCGGCACTTTGGAGTCACGAGCTTCGCAAAGGACAGGGATGGTGTTCAGCTCCATCACCGTAGAGATCGCAGCCCTCAAGGCGGCGTCTAGCCACTCGTCCTCGATCGGCAAAGTCGGCTCCGAGCTAAGGGTCGGAGCAGACACTAATGCAGCCTCCAGGGCACTGTTCGGCGGCAGAGCTAGATCGTGCCCATTGAGACAGTGCGACGCGCTTGGCTGCGGCTCGAATCCGTCGAAGATCAAATCTCCGTGGATATCGACCGTGTAGTTCAAACTCCCAAATCTGACCTGATGGCCAGGGGCGTAGCTTTCGATCTGCTCCAGATGGCCTAGCGAATTGGCCCGCAGTGCAAAGCCGCCGAATACAAAGATCTGTCCGGGGAGAAAAGTCTCACCCTGGACCGCGTCGTTGTTGTTGATCGAAGGAGCCATCGGGCCTAAAGGTGACGACACAGAGGAACTCTCAATGAAAGCACCAATGTCGGTGTCAAAACCGGGGGATCTCGGGTAGGGGTCCCGAACTGTGCGTCTAGGCGGATGGTAACAGGAGACAAGGGACACGATGTTTTTACCCAGGTTCGGGCCGTCTCGGTGGAGGTAAAACCCTACTCCTGCTTGATTAATATTGATGATATGGGTAGTACAAGAGTAGATCTACCACGAGATCAAAGAGGCTAAACCCTAGAAGCTAGCCTATGGTATGATTGTTGGTCGTCCTATGGACTAAAACCCTACGGTTTATATAGACATCTGAGAGGGCTAGGGTTACACAGAGTCGGTTACAATGGTAGGAGATCTACATATCCGTATCGCCAAGCTTGCCTTCCACGCCAAGGAAAGTCCCATCCGGACACGGGACGAAGTCTTCAATCTTGTATCTTCATAGTCTAGGAGTCCGGCCAACGGTGATAGTCTGGCCATCCGGAGACCCCCTAATCCAGGACTCCCTCACCAACCTTCCTGACCATAGTCCGGCCAGGGCTCTCCTGATAAAGAGAGAGACTTTACTGAATTCAGGATGTCGCCAAAGGGCGAGTGCTGAAAGATGTCTGCGGCGGTGAATTCCATGACCGACGCCCAATCGGATTCTATTGGCAGGGGTGCGGAAGGTTCGGAGTCCAGAGAGGAGTCCGGCACCTTGGAGTTACGAGCCTTGCAAAGGACAGGGATGATGTTTGGCTCAATCGCCGTAGAGATCGCAGCCCCCGAGGCGGTGTCCAGCCACCCGTCCTCGATCGGCGCAGTCGGCTCCAAGCTAAGGGTCGGAGCGGACACTGGTGCAGCCTCTAGGGCACTGTTCGGCGACAGAGCTAGATCATGCCCATCGTGACTGTGCGGCGCGCTTGGCTATGGCTCGAACCCGTCGAAGATCAAGTCTCCGCGGACGTCAGCCATGTAGTTCAAACTTCCAAACCTGACCTGATGGTCAGGGCCGTAGCTTTCAATCTGCTCAGGTGGCCAAGTGAATTGGCCCGCAGTGCAAAGCCGCCGAATACGAAGATCTGTCCGGGGAGAAAAGTCTCACCCTGGACCGCATCGTTGTTGATGATCGGAGGAGCCATCGGACCTAAACATGACGACACAGAGGAACTCTCAATGAAAGCACCAATGTCGGTGTCAAAACCGGCGGATCTCGGGTAGGGGGTCCCAAACTGTGCGTCTAGGCGGATGGTAACAGGAGACAAGGGACACGATGTTTTTACCCAGGTTCAGGCCCTCTGGATGGAGGTAAAACCCTACTCCTACTTGATTGATATTCATGATATGGGTAGTAAAAGAGTAGATCTACCACGAGATCAGAGAGGCTAAATCCTAGAAGCTAGCCTATGGTACGATTGTTGTTCTGTCCTACTAACTAAAACCCTCCGGTTTATATAGGCACTGAAGAGGGTTAAGGTTACACAGTGTCGGTTACAATGGTAGGAGATCTACATATCCGTATCACCAAGCTTGCCTTCCACGCCAAGGAAAGTCCCATCCGGAGACGGGACGAAGTCTTCAATCTTGTATCTTGATAGTCCTGGAGTCCGGCCAAAGGCTATAGTCCGTCCATCCGGACACCCCCTAATCCAGGACTCCCTCACCCCCACACTACTACTAAGCGTCTCCACCCCAGCCCGATCCACACTCCACCACCCCACCAACCGTGCCACACCACCCACCCCCCGTCCATTAAAAGAAGACCACGCAGCCGATCCAGATCCCCAACCTCCTCTCCTCTCCCAACCCACTCGCCGCCGGCCTCCCTTCCACCTCCTCTCCTTCGTCCGCCCGCCCCCATGCCCCCCGTCACGTGCGCCACGCCGGCGGCCGCGCGCCCGCCGCTCCCCGTCTCGCGCTGCTGCCCACCCAGCCCCCCTCCGCTGCGCACGTGCCCGCCTGCCGCGGCACCAGCTCCTCCTCCGCTACAGCATGCCGCTGCACATTCAGGGCGGGCGGGCGCCAAGGGCGTGCGGATGGAGGTGGCACAGATTCAGGGCGGTAACAAGGACGGGCGCCCCACATCCCCTTCACGAGCTGCTTCCCAATCCTCCTTTGCCTCCGTGGCCTGCAGCACGGGATCCCAATCATGTCCGGTTGTCCGTGGATCTTGGTCCACCGTCGTCGTTCCCTTAGCACGCCGCCTGCACTTCATCTTGCTCGCCATAATCGCTGGGTCACAAGTTCATCTGTTTGTGCCTGGATTGTCGCCGGGGTCCTGGGAGTTGCTCTGTTGCTAGGTACGTTCGTCCATGCCGGCGGCTGTGACGCGTGATGACCCATGGTTAGGATCACTTGCTTTGCATGAACTGCTTAGGCCATGTGCATATTAATTAATCTGTAGCTAGCGTCTGCTCTTGATAGCTAGCTGATCTATGCACTTGACCAAAATTGGGGATCAGAAAAAAAAATCTTCAGTAAAACAAATCTGTACTACGTAGCAAGTGCAAGGGTTCGTATTACAAGCTTGTACGTGGTCGTAAACAAAGCCTGAATCTGACTTTAATTTAATTAGTGTGGTGCAACTATTCGTTTTTACGGGAGTCAGAATTTCTATCTCATAAGATTTTAGTATAAATAAATTTTGGGTTTGGATGATCATGCAGGTGTACCATTTTTCATGGCCTGAAAATGATAATAATATGCATATCTATTGTTTCTTCACATGGATTGTATATGCTTGATGAGCCATAAATCTTTGTCTTTTCACTATCAACTTAAGGAGTCCTACAAAAGGGAGTGATCAACCAGTATGTAAGTAAACTGCCCAGGTTGATCTTATTTGTATATTTTGATATAATGTAATCTGCCAAAATAATAGCCAAATATGTGTAATAAATCCTGCCGTCTTCAACGATCCGGCGCCACTCTGTGCCCCGCGGCATCGGCGTCTTCAATGATCCGGCCCCGCGGCATCGGCGTCGGCGTGGGACTGGACCCGCTGGAGCCGGCGCGCCTCCGTGTCTCATCCCAGTCCACCAACTGTCCTCTGCCCGCTGTCCGCCTCCCGCCCTAGATCTCCAGCTCCCCCCACCTCTGTCCGTCCCGACTGGAGCAGAGGTCCCCTGGTAGGTGTAGCTGCCTGTGGAGCAGAGAGAGTGTCGGCCGGGGACGAAATGGCGGCAGTCGATGTCTGCGCCCTGCTGCTCGCGGCGGCGCTGCTCCTCTCCGCGCCGGCCGCCACAGGTGTGGCTCCCCTCCTCTGTCCTCTGATTCGGTTCTGCTCGCGCGTGTGCGGGCGGGTGTATGCCTGCCGCTCCCGTCTCGTTGGTCCTGTCGGTGTCTGTCCCGCTGGGTTACTAGTTCAGCTCGTTTCCTCCACGCTGCTGCTTTGTTCAGCTTCAAGCGTCCTTCCACGCTGCTGCTCTCTTGAGCTTCAAGCTTTGAGCTGATTCTCAAGCGGATTAGTTATAGTTAGCTAAAACATCCTTGCGCCGAGCTCTGATCTGCTCTGTCACAACTGAAGCGAAATACAGTACTGTAGTTAGTGAAAACATCTCAGTCAAGTGTGTTTGCTGTGCTGTTCCTGCTACTATCTTGATCTTCAAGCTGATTCTTAAGCGAATTAGTTAGTTGAAACATCCTCGTGCCGATCTGTTCACAACTGAAGTGAATTACAGTTAGTTAGCTAGAACGTCTCAGTCAACTGTGTCTGTTATGCTGGTAAAAGAACCTAATTTGCAGGATACATCCTGCAGATTGGAACAAGTATGTGTTTGTTGTGCATCTGGCGTGCCAATTAACCTTCTTACTTCGTTCTTGTTCTCGCAGAGGCGTACAATTCGCTAGATCCGAACGGGAACATCACCATAAAATGGGATATTATGTCGTGGACTCCAGATGGTTATGTTGTGAGTAGCACTTCAACATCTGTGTCTCTCATCCGAACCTATGAATTAGGCCAGAATTGATTTTTACCGAGGTTTTGATGACCTCAACAAGTAAGTAGCATGGCCAGTGATCGGCTACATACAAACTCAGCTACAAGCAGTATATATACATATAGTGGACTACTGGACTCAAATGCAGTGATTAGCAGATTGTGGATAATAATCTGGTCACCCACTGCTAGGGAAAACCTTATACACAGAACTTTAGCAGTAGCGTGGGTCAAAAAAGCACGCTGGTGCTAAGTAGCAGTAGCGCGCCTGAGGAAACCGCGTTGCAGATAAAGATCTAGCAGTAGCGCGTCTGGGTGTAAACATGTTACTACTAAAATTCCCACGGCTTGGCCGATAGGCTACACATAGTAGTAGCGACCTATGACGAACCGCGCTACCGCTACTTTATTTGTAGCAGCGTGTTTTTATATAAACTCACTACTGCTAAAGGTTATAAAATTAAATGTAAAGAAAATAGAAAGGTAATTTAAAATGAAAGAAATAGAATAAGGTGAATGGAAAAAAAATAAAATGTGAAGAAAACTAAATGAAAAAGGGGAAAAAAGAGAAAGGAGTAGCAGTAGCGTGTATCACAGAACGCGTTGTAGCTAAGATAGCAGCAGCGCTTTTCCTGGAATGCGCTACTGCTACTTCTGACTTAACCACGGGGTTTGTCCTTCCCCATGCGGCCACTTCCCCTAAATCCAACTCTCTCCACTCTCGCCGCCGCCGTCGCCCATCGGCCGCCGCCGTCGCCAGTCGGCCGCCACGCGCTCTCCGCACCCTCTACGCCGCCCCAACCCCAGATTCAACGCCGCCCCCGCCCCCGACCTCAACGCCACCCCGAACG